TTTTTGAATTAGAGATGAATGATTTAATAAATGAATGAGAGAGAGAGAAGGAAGAAAGGATGGGTGAAAGGGAAGGAGGAAGGGAGGGAGAGGAGAAAAGTGAAAGGAAACAAGAGAAAGAATGAGAGAGACGGGCAGGAGGTTGCAAGAGTTTGATGGAAAGGATCCTTAAGAAAGGGGAGCCTGGGATGTTTTGAATTGCTTACGAGAATAAGCCAACGGAGAGTAAAGAAGAAGGGTCCGTGTAGGCCAGGAAATCCTAGTGAGAGAGATGGAGTCAGAAAACCAGAGAGAGGTGACGGTCAATTCAAAGATGAAGGAGAGAGGGTCCTCTCCAAGCTTCTTAGTGAAATAAGACTTTGAGGTGCTCTACTGAGGGGCCGAGCTTGGATTTACCAAAACTGAGGTGTCTAAAGCTTCGAAAGGGTCATTATGCTGTATACCATTTGTCAATATAGTACTACCTTAACTTTTAGAGAGGGTAAACCTAGTGCATTCAGATAATTTAAAAATATTATTTAGAAAGACACGATGATTTGGGGGTTGATATGGAAGAGGAAACAGCAGTGCGTTTTTATTCATTGAGAGCTTATTTTTTCACAATGATTCTATAAATAAATATTTAGAATTTCTTGATCTTTCCAAAGTGTATTATTCCCTTTCACCCCAATAATTCTATTTAAACTGCAAAATATTTCTGGACCTGAGCAAAATATTTTGCAAGTAGCATTTCACTGTGCTCAAATACTCTCTATCTGTAGGAACTTTCTACAAAGTTTTTGTGATTTCTTTTTGTCCAAAGAATTCACAGCATCATTCCATTAAGTTTTAAGATGCCATTATCAAGAGAAGAGCATATTTCAAGTATTTGGGAAGGAAGGGGGTGAATGCCTTATGTTTAAGACAGAGCTGACACTAAAGCTTTTTTCTTCCAGTCTGCTGATTTTGCTTGGCAAATTATAACATCTCTCTTCCAGCAGGTAAATAAATAGGTAGCTATGAGCTTTACCGATTCAAGGAAGATTCATTTTTCTGGATGTAAACTCATGCCAGAAATAACTCAGGGCTACACTAATCCCTTTCTGTCAGCATTACAGGTAATACAGACTCTGCAAA